GGCCTAGGCCTAATTAGTTTATATCGTAATTGTCCGGGGTAATATTAATGTGAAGCGAGAGTTGTTAGCATGATGCTCTATGTAAGTCTGCCATTATCATTATTATTATAAATACATATCATCGCACATTTTGGGCAGCCTTTTGATTTTTGAGGATCAAATGCAGAGTTTGCAGTAGAAGGCCTATTTATCATCATGGGTTGTACTGAAGGCCTGGGGCCAGATAATAATTACGATGCATCATGCTATATAACACGCGATCAGTGTGATACTGCCGAATGGCGTGTATATCGTGCCGTGGTGTTCTGTATAATTTTGTTAGCTTATGCACGGTGCAATTAGCTTTTCGAGTTTTCTTGGGCATTATATTCCGTTCGCAATCGATGTTTTTCATCACGTACCTTAGGCCTACTAAGAATTCACGTTGTGATGTAATCAGGTTTATGATGTTATCCAACTAACGTTTCCAATAGTATCAGAATAATCGCATTACATGAGTATTCATTGGAATTATTCCGATCGATCTCGCCTCATATTGCCATCGTTACGTTTAAAATTACTGAAACGGGTGCGTGCTAGCAAGCTGATAGTTCTGGTTAAATTTCACGCTTTCGCGGCACGGTATTGCATTATAATTTGCCGTTGCTTTATCACGTGAGGAGACGTGCATTTTGCATCGTTTTTAAGCTTATGTTTGCAATAAATTGTGTGAATTTGTGAAGATGTTTGAATTGGTTGGTGAAATAGATGGAACACTTTCCAAGTGATGTCTTATACCTTTGTTGGTGCACGTTTAATTGACCAGACATTCTTAATCGGCACACATTAGCAATTTGAATGATAAAAAGTGCTTAAACTCGCCGGGACATATAAGTAACAGTCAATGATAATTCATAAAGTAATATTTCTCATGGATAATTCAAGATCCGTCTGCAAACAACACACCATCATCATCATTCGTTTTAAGTGCTTTTCTTTCATAGTGCTCGTCTGCCGAGTCGCGCGCGTAGCAGCAGTGAGCGTGCCTGTAAATGAGTTGGTCTATCATTTCAGAAGGCGTAGATCGACGAATGTAGACTAAAATATATATCGGTGTCAACTTATGATAGTCGCTCAAGACAAAAATTACTAACGAAATATGAAACACCAATTAGAATTAGGCATAATCTCTTCATCACGGATACACTTACGCGTCGTCTAGGCGCGTCGTCAATGCCCGTGCGTCATTTTATTTGAGTGCGATACCTTCAGACAATTTCACGGCCTCCTAAACTCCCGTTTTAATAGGCACTAAATTAGTAATTAATATCTGCTCGGAATAAAAAAAATACGCATAGCAGATCTATGATTGAATTAATCCATGCGCTTATAACATTATACATACACTTAGGTTCGATATAGGATTTGTTGTTTTAATTCATTCGTAGGTATTTTTTGTAAATGCACACTGGCTTATGATGTCACAGTTTACCTTGTATTAATATAGAAGCGATATAACTGTAGTTTGGTTAAGGATTGTGCAAATCTGATTAATATTGTTTTCCTCTCGAGCTCGTGTTTTTTATTTGTTCGCGATGCATGCGGTTGAGATTTCAGATACGATAAGTATGTCACACTGCCATCACGTGACGAACGACCATTTGCCACTCGCAGAAAACGAGGTTTAGCTTGTTTATCAATTCCGTTTGTTTTGGAAAGTATTGGGGTTGGACCTTGACTCGGCTGAAAGAAAATGCAGTCAGATGGTCACACATCATCCATCGCCGGTTGGCACGTCAAACAATATTTATTACTAAAATTATAAATAATGACGTCAGGGACCGCGTATGCGCGCATAATATGCATCGCTCTAGAAACAAGCAACATTACTTATTTTAATCTCTAGTCACGTTTCGTTCAAATATCCATGTCATATACAGGCCCTAGGACTACAGAGAATTTTGATGACAGAGCTTTCTTCTTTTTTTTTTTTTTTTTTTTTTTTTTTTTTATTTACGATCGACTCCTTGACGTTTTTTTTGTATTTACGATCGACTCCTTGACGCGGCAAAATCGTTTTTCGCTGGTGTTAGTGTTAATTTATCTACCGTGTGTTTCTCGAGTGGGCACGTGGCGTCTATCCGCATATACTTTGAACACCTTGTGGTTTCTAAGCCGCTTATTATGATCATGATAATCATCATACCATTACAACACACTCAGTCAATAATTATTATGCCATTATAGTGTTATATAAAATTTGTATCGTCGAACTGAATTTCATTACCATTCTTCATTGTCAATATTGTTACTTTTTCAATAGCGCCCTCTACAATTGAATCATTCGTGCCGCCGCGCTGTGGTGGACGGATCGAAGCGTGGGACAATTTTGTCGGTTAATTTAAATACTTGACGTATGTAATCAATGTTTTCGGCATAGCTGTATTCCACAGGCGTGGTGCCAAATGATATTAATAGCCAACATTCTGACAGCCATTATGTGGTATGATTGCCTATGGCTGGCATTATTATAATGGAGAGTTAGGTGTTTGAAAAAACCTAAATCTTGCCATCGCTGAAATTGTGCTCCTCAAAGTGATACACATTTGATTACTACTTTTAATTTTGTTTTTGCCATTTGCCAACCAAAAAAAAAAAAAAAAAAAAAAGAAAGAAAGCCTTTCACGTGATAAAAAAAAAAAAAGAAAGCCTTTCACGTGATAAATATAATACTATAATAGGTTACGTGCATTTAAATAATCCGTACTTTATCAGCAAAATTAGACCCGTATTACGTCATCAGTGCGTATGTGCGCACGTAACGGTACTGTATCGGATGTGTACGTCTGGTACCGAAGCTCATATTTAGCAAGTTACAGTAGTGGGTTGATGTAAACGCACGACAATATGACTGTATAAACTTCGTTCACACTACAAAAATTTAGACTCGTTGTTAACGCAAACAAAAGATACGCTACCGTCCTAGTGTGTACAAAGCTTTAGTGGTGGCAGGCTATGCAAGATTATTGATGGTTGCCGAACGTCACGTATGCGCATAATACCTCCAACACAACTACAAATACAAGCAACATTACATTTTTCGTTCAAATATCCATACATATAGGCCCTAGGACTAGAGAGAATGTTGATATAGAATTGAACACTATTTTTGTTTTTTGTATTTACGATCGACTTACTTCTTTATGTGGCAAGATTGTCTTTCGGTGTTTTATTTTATTTTATTAATTTCGGCAAAACAAGAAGTGTTAGTGTTGTGTAGCCAACGTGTGGTTCTCATGTGCGAGACGTGCTTACTGTATATTCTGAACACCTTGTGTTGGTAGGCTATGGAAGCTCATTCGTGGTTGCAACACGTGTCACGTAATGAAAGTCTGACAATTTATTGTTGACAGTGTTTTGAAATTAGTTATTAATAATGACTTTTACATTTTGTCTTTGTTTTAATCTAATTTTATTTTGGTTTTAAACTATTTTGAAAATGCTGTGTATTATTAGAACGAAAAAAGATTCGTTATCAAACGGAGAACAAATCGTTCTATTTTCTCAATCATAAATTGTAGAAGAAGCGAGATATGTAACCGGCCTGATAAGTGTCTAGATATTCTGGCATTTCAAAATCAAGACGAATTCCAGACACGATGGAAATCGTGTTGTCTCTAAGCGCCTCGAACGGTCCGTGCCAAGTGCTTTGCATGACTCCAGAAATGTCATACCAGCCTCATAAAATCTACCGCATAAGCGGCGAAGCTTTATCAAACCGTTATGCCTCACTGATTGCCTCAAATATCCAGACTATTGATCACTCAGATTGCTTAGCAACAACACTTATTTACGTCATCTCACGGAAAACGGGATCGTCTCAACAGTTCCGAGTATGAGATGAAATCCTCGCGACACATTAACTCATGGTTTGAACGATGCATTTTTTTTTTCAATTTCATTCATTTTATATATTCACAAGTGTATGAAATTGTAATAATTAAATCCTATTTATCTAATCAGTTAATAATTAACGAAAATGATGAAACTTTGCAAAATTTTGTTTTCTGAGGAAATTTTTTAAAAGTACAAGACACAAGATGTCTTTATTGTCACCAGTAAAACAAAAAAATGACAGATACACTGTCCTCGGACATGCAACAATAATAATGATAAAAATAATTACAATCACACACTGTACTTTCACAGACGGCACATTATAATAATGATAGGCCTACTGTAAATGTGAAACATTAGGTGTGTTTAAAGTCCAAACCATTTAACGTTTTGATGATTTATTTTAGTAAATGAAATTTTGAATTAAAAACGAGCTCAGTATTCAAAAAATTGTATGGGGGAAAATGTATAATGTTTTAAAAGGAAAACTAAGTCAACATTAATTCCAGCGCGGACTGAACAAGTGTACACATTGTTTCTGTTATTGAAAACGAGAACGGAGGATAGAATGTTTAATGTTTGTTTTCGATTCACATTATTTTATTGCTTGGGGAAATTAGTCATCGTCATTGGTTTACGCACAAATTTATACATTAATTCCTCTACCAGCAAATATAAATTTCGATCGAATTAATGTATTATCGGAACTTTTGAGGCGATCCCTAAATCAGCCTCTCGTTGCATACAGCCATTTCATTTCGCGGCGTTTTACAACAATTATTAAGCCGACCCTTTCATGCAGGCCCTTTCCACCAAACAGCGCTCGTCATCGGAACGGTAGACAATTGATTTTTCCTCATAGGCCTAGAAATCATCTACTGGTATTCCGAGGCCGATCACCTGGACAGCGGTTCCAAGCATTTTTGTATGTAAGAATAACTGTTTAATTCAAACTTGTAGCAATACACGTACATCTCCGCTCTTAGTTGGCAGTATAACGTAATTCGATTTGTCGATGCTATAATTTTCGGTTTCACGTTTACA